TAGATGGATAATTAAAAGGTTGAAATCTATTATACAATATTTTGAATGCAAATATAAAATGTGTTTTTGAGTGGAATACAAAGAAAAGGATGTTGGGTAGGGTTGTCAAATTGTCAAGTAAGAAATATGTTGATGCATGGTTAGTATCATAAACGTTTGTATGAAGAACCAATTATCAATATGTGAATATTTGATTGATACCAAAATTCAGCTCTTTTTTTTTTTTTTTTTTATGCAGAACCAATTATCAATAATGCAATTTAAAACTTACACAATCAATTAGTACCAAAATTTATTTTTAAATAAATTAATTTTTACTCGATCCACAATTAATATATGATTTTGAAACTAAAATGATAGAAATAAATCAACCGATTAGAATGCCAAAAAAAAAAAAAAGAAAAAATGTTCAAGCCGTGGGTTCTTATATCATTGTCTCAAGTCATGCTATGCATTCACCATTTTCTCTTTTTAGCATTTATATAATATGTATAATTATACATACTATCTATATAATATAATATAATTATATAGAGTTGGTGTTTAAAGATCAGGAGGCCAGCGTGAAAGATGAAAGGTTTGGGTATATATATAATATGTATAAATATAATAATTATAAAATTTATGTGAACAAAATTCTAAAATTCATTTTCTAAAAGTATATATTGTATTAAAATTTATCTTCTGCAAATTTTGGCTTTCACGGTATTTTACTGTAAAATTACTTTTATATAATATTTTTTCAAATGCAAATCCCAGCAAAATACACCCTACATTCGACGGATAGAATTAGCCAGAGCCTGGCTATTCTTCTACTTTTCTCGCATGGAGATATTTTCCAAAGAAGCTACCTCTGTAACCTTACCTAACTTCAGACTTCGAACACTCTCCATTCTAATCTTTCTCCTTGCACTCGAATGAAACTGTATGTGTTTGCTTCCACCTTTCTCCTTTTCTTAATTACTTTGAAACGCTGAAAAACCTATTTTGCTGGCTACTGAGGCGACTTCTAATTTTATTCTTTCAAATGGATTGTTTCTCGACTTTCATGGATTGGATTCACTAAATGGCGTTAGTTTTTTATGTTGTTTGTGAAGATTATTAACTCGCCTTTGACAAGTAATTTAACATTAACTTGCCAGTAAATGGAATATCCTTTTTCGTAAAAGATTTGGATTTAGTATCCTTTTTGTCTGTCAGGAACTGGGTTTCTCGACTATTTGGGAATTGTTTATGGGTTTATATGTGTGCGTATAAGTTGTTTGTTGAAATGTCTAAGATATATTTGAGTAGCTTTTTACCAGCTATTTAGGCTCGCTTTTAAATTATTTAATCCATTTTTAGTTTGTAAAAAAATTTGGAATCAATTAATCATGGAAATCTTTGAAACTTGTTGATTGAATTTATAGAACTACTTAGAATAAAAGCTAGATATTGCTTTACATAATGTCCGTTCTTTTTAATTCTGTTATTTGTTTGCTTTTTTATTCCTTCTTCATTTTCTACTTTTTGTTTATTTTTCTGTTTTAATCTATGCCTCAACTTCAATTTTTGCAGACTATGTTTCTGATGCTTGATCTTCAGAGTCCTGCAAATAATTGATACCATCCATATTATATATTCTTAGGCTTCCATTATTACTATGTTACAGTTGATACTATCCATATTATATTATTTTTCAGTTGCATGCTCACCCTGAAAAGCCTCTTGCTAAAGCCAAGATTATAAAATGTCACTTGTGTGCTCTTCATCCTCAGCGGTTCCCACGTCAGTTATTGCCCATTTGAAATTCCAGAGGGAGATTTTAGGTCCTAGCTGCTTTATTACTCGCTATAAGTTTCCATCTGTTACTACCAAGAATATTCATTCAGTATTTCATACACCATTTACTGTTCTGAGTTCTGTGAGAGATTATGCTGAAACTGGTTATCAGCCATTCACTGAGGAGACAATGTCCTTTGATTGGGAAGATCTAGAGGAGATTGAAGATGCGGATTCACCATGGGAAGGCGCAGTTATATACAAGAGGAACCTATCGGTTACACATATAGAATACTGCACAACCTTGGAGAGGCTTGGGTTAGGGAAACTTTCAACTGAAATCTCAAAATCTAAGGCTTCAGTGATGGGTTTGCTTGTTACAAAAGCTGTTAAAGACTATCCTAATGGGACGCCTGTTCTAGTCTCCATTGACATGACAAGGAAGAAGCAGAAATTGAGGCTTGATGGAATTATTCGAACTGTCATTACACTTGGTTGCAACAGGTATTTCCACATCACATAGTTCTCCCCATATATGTAGTTTATCATTTATAGGCTGAAGTTTTTAATCAATGCCTAAAGGGGCATTTCCTGAGTTTGTTCACACAATAAATAGGTTAAGATACAAAAAGAAAGTAACGTTCGGATCATATACTTCACATTACCATAACACTTTTGGACATTCGCAAATGCACGGTTCATATTATCATTAATGTACGTGATTTCATTTATGAATCTGATGCTTTGAAATAACAATAAAGTCTTATTTGTTTATGTTCCTCTTGGTGCTTCATGTGGCATCAAATGAATGAATCTTTTGATTTTGTTGTCTTTTCTTTGTTTGCACTCTTGGATTCTTTATTTTGTTAATTTTATGCTGAAGTGCGGTGAGCCAGCTGCTGAGTGTGTTTTCTCCAACTTGTCGCTCCTACTTTGTGAGGAGCCCATTGAAGAACTAGACATTATTAATTT